CTGGCAGCGGTTGTTGTGCCGGCCCTTGCTAGTGCCTGGCTGGGTCGCCCCCAGCAGTGCTCGCCCTTCAGGTTTGGCCTGGAAGGTGCCACCTGTGAGCGGGAGCTGCAGGGAGGAAGGAGCTCGAGGGGGAAGGTGTGAGAAGGAACGAGGGGAAAGTGTTAGAAAAAAGGGCACCTGCAGGTCTCTTGTGGCTGCCCCCCCGCGTACGCGCGGAGGTCTTTGTGAACAAGCATAGCCGGGCTTTGGTAAGGCTTTGCGTAGCACAAAACCCTGGAGCTCAGGGGTGGTTTAGTTAGTCGCAGTCTGGGCAGTGAATCTGGCCCGTGGCTAATACACACCTCGTGTCTCCCGTGACCGCAGGTGCCGTGTGGTGTTCAGGAAGGGCAGTGGTGCTCCCCTGGGCATGCTGAAATTGCAATAGTGTTGACGCTTACAATGTTTTTTAGCATAAACATTAGGCAGAAGTATGTTCTGCCTATGTTTTTGATACCTGTTATGGCAAATATATTTAATGTATTTCAAGCACTTAGGCCTCATTTCAGCAATAAATGACCGACCTGCAGTGCCCAAATGGGCAGTGCTCCACCCAATGGCACTGTACCTGGTGCTAGTCGCCTCTTCCAAAAAGAAATGCTGTTGTTATTGTCCCAGTATGTTTTTTTTTTTTTTTTTTGGGGGGGTGTTGTGCCATACTCGTTTTATATGAAATTTTTCTGGTGTCCCCTGTGAGAGAGCACCTGATGCCAATCCAGGTGAATAGACTCTGGGTAACTGCGGGGAAATGCTCTGTTTTTCACGGAGCGCCTCTCAGGCTTCTCCTAGTCCTTTATGCATATTCTGAAGTGTTTAATCCTTTGCACGCAGAGAACAGATGAGAGCCGTTCTCTACAACAGACAGATACAAACTGCCAAAGGCTGCATCTGAGAGCTGAAGACTGCGTTGGAGATGAGAGCATTGTGTGTAGATTAGACATTCATTTTGTACGCATTTTGGGGTACACCCAAAAAAGTGCACCTATTCAGACCTAGACAAGGGCCAAAGCTCAAAGACTCTTATTCGCATTATGTCCAAAATTAGTATCTGCATTATTCCTGTTCCTCCTGGAGGAGGAGATCTGGTATTCGGTATACTTGTTTGAACTGTTCGGCAATTTTAAGACAAGACTGAAATATTGGAAATTATTTCCTATTTCTTTTGCCCAGGCCCCTAATATATGTGAAAATAAATATGGGGGGGAAGGAGGGAAAACTGGGAGAGCAGAATTTGAAATATAACTAGAATTTTTATTGCTTTTGCCAACAGATTTTTCATACAATTGGGAGCTAAAATATGATTCCAGGAAGTTAATGGAAGATATGGCTGTCTTCACAGCAGTTGTCTTCTCGGTGAATTAACACCTGATTGCTCCTAACCAGGTAAACATTTCTTCTGATGAAAGTCTAGTTTCAGTTTGCAATGGCTTTACTTATAGTGGTGTAAGCTGCTGATGTTTGTTCTGTCGGGTCTAGTAAGGGGTGAGGAGAAAGGTGATTTCCTTCCAGAAAGAAAGGGTGTTCACGTGGGGCCGGCAGCTTTTCACAGGTAGGTCTCATGAATGACAATGATCTTGAATCTTTCCTTGCACAAGTCTTGCTGTGATGCTTCCTTCTGGCAAAAGGAAGAAAAATATTGATCAGGAATAATAAACAACCCTACTCCTAGAATATTATACCTGTGTTTGTATCGTTATTGTTTGTCATACTATTCAGTGGCGAGACATCTCCTGACTGAACCGAACTAAGAAGTTACAGTAAGCCTGATGTCTCTTGGAGATAGCAATGAGATAAAAAGCCTTTTTCTTTAAGTCTATTCTAATGATTTTCAGCTTGGTAGAGGCCCAAAGGTATTACAACCTTTTTTGGGACACATTTTTGGGACAACAGTGATACTTAATTTTTTGAGGAGAAGGGATAAGTCTGTCTTCAAACTCAATAATTGTTGCTTAAATGCATCTAAAACCAGGTTACCCTGTGAAGAGTGTAACAGATGAACTGAGGCTGGCCCCATACAACCTCCCCATGGTGACAGTCTCAGCTTCCCTGCTCCCCTCGGGTACCACGGGCTCCCTCCTGCCTCCTCTCAGGGTGGCTGGCGCGATGGCTCGGGCTGCAGGGGTGTTTGGCCGGCAGGTACCTTGTCTGGCTACCAGTTGGCCAGCCAGCATGGGGACCGCTGACCCCGTACAGCTTCCTCAGGGTGGATTTGGTCCCTCTTTGGAAACTTGCTTATCCCTGAGACCCACTATCCCGTGATGAAATTTGTCTCAAGATAACCAGTAAGTGCCTGTGGGAGGGAGGCCGATACTTGGACAAGATTGCAATGCCTTCCTTGTATCCCGAGGAAAATGGATTACAAATATTTCTGGTTGGCAACGCACCCCTGTGGAGGCAGCAGGCAGGTCTGCTCTGCTTCTCTGTGCATCGTCACGCAGCTTGATCCAGCCAAGGCAGGGACACTTGGGAAAGAAGCAAAAGCAGTTAAGTGTGGGGGGGGTGACTGGGAAAACCAACTGTGCAAAACGGCAGTAACGGGTGTGTTTTTTTGGAAAGGCCATGATAAATGCCTGCATGTTTGGGCATCACAGTAATGTGGTTTTACGTAGTAAATCACCATATCCATATTGTTCTCCCTGTTGCATATATACCCTCACCATAATTTTAAATAGTTTAACCTATGGCCTAGGAAACCAGAGAGTGTGTTTAACTCTTGAAATTCTTGCCTGTTCTCGTCCACCCAAAGCTGTTCTTCCTTGGGCCTCAGGCGACCTTACACAAGAGCACGGGATTGTCTAGGGCTGCTTTTTGGCAGAATTGCCTTACACTGACAGCATTAATTTGGGGAGGAGCTGGTGGCAGCCAAAAGTCAAACAGGTCTCCTGTAAAAGAGTGGCTGGGTTTCCAGGGAGCTGATGCAGTGTTCTGCTGCTGCTCTCTGTTGGGAAGGAGGAGTGAGGTTTCCAAGGGGACTTGCATGGGGGTGAGATACGGTCATGGTCATCTCAGGAGGCCTGCATAACTCAGGATGTGCATTTTTCATGTCTCACTGTGTGGAGCACAAAGCTCCTGTCCATATCTATGAAAACAGTTTTCCCTTCCTGAGAACTTGGTAAAAAACATTTCAACTCACTGTTTCTACCTATGAGACTAAATTCTGGGGGGGTGTGTGGGATTGAGATGAGAAGCAATCATGTTCAAGAGACTTACTGAGCAGGGAAATTCACATATAACGATGACGATATAGGCTAAGGTAGGCATTAGCAGGAAACAGAGGATGAACACTTTAATGTAGAGACTTTGTGTTTTTCTGAGCAGCATCTCTTTCTTATTTCTCTCTAAATTGAGACAAAGAAGAATATTTCAAAAGCTTTTACGCGTCTTTAACAGTTTTTCTTCATTTTGGTTAGGTTGGGTTAGGTAAAGTAGAACAATGCCGAGAAAGGATTTGGAGTCCCCTGCAGTCTCTCAGATGAAAGTGTAGCTCTCTCTGGACTCTCAGAAACTGTTTACTTTGAAATATTTCGGTTATTCAGCTCCAAGTCTGTCCCCAGAGAAGACAGTATGTGAATTCAGGCACAGCAAGAGCTTGCAACTTCCCACTGAAGCCAGGTGAGGTTATTTAGGGAAGCAGGGAGCCTTAGTATGGAACCCATACGCTAGACCCATATACTATGCAGAACCTGGTAACCTCTTAAGAAAGTCAGTGCTAAAATACTGTTTTTTTCATTACAGCTGAGGATTCACAAAAGATCTGGATTTACTGGGGTAAGCAGAAAATGCATTTATTGATAGGGAGAACTAGGGCTAAGCTGTGCTTGCAAAAGCCAAGATCTTTCTCCTTCATTGTGCATAGTGTTAATGCTACTTCTGTGG